CATTCTTGGTAAAAAAAAAAAAATAAACGAAGCGACTCGTTCATCGTTGCTGGCGTCTCCGGGCGGAACGAGTTCCCCCCAGTAACTACCTACAGAACGATACAACGGCCTGGTGAACGCACGAAGGCACGTATGGACGTTCGCGAAAGCGTTGGGAAAATTACGAGTCGAACTTGGGCAATTTATCGTGGGTCGGAAGCGTGCGAATTCGCGTGCCAGCGACGTTCACTTCCGGCTGCGCGACGTCCGCGTTACGTTCACGTAACAGACATTTACATACGCGCAGCCATTCGTCTTCGCCCAGTGGATGCTTCGATCGGTCAATATCCATCTCATGGTGGCCCCGAGAAACCTATCTTTACTCGTGGTTCCTTCGCCCAACCCCTTTTTCCACGGTTCCACGAACCGGTGCGGATCGAAATTCCATTACGAACGGGGTTCGCGAGAGACGAGAAGGGATAATTACCGGGGGGAACCGGGCTCTTTTTTTCTTATTAAATCCGAACGAACGTTGCTACTTTCCGAGGAAATTGATACTTTAACGCGCGCTCGGGTTGCTGGAACGATCGTTCGGTATTAGCAGCGAACACGTTCAGGGTGTAGACACGGATTGCTTTTGTAACGGAGAACTGATTTTGTCGACGTCTTTGTAGTGGAGAATCTTTGGATATTTTTTGGAGTTGTGGTATTCTGAATTTGTGTGGTTCTTGGAAGATAGACTGATTAATTTTTGAAAAGATTTGTGGTGGTGATCTGGTAACGGTTGTTGTTAAAATTGTGCTTGCAAGGAATGTTCTTTGAATTTGTGCAGTTAGAATTTAAGAAAAAATTATTCTTTACTGGGATACCACTGGTTTACAAAAATTCTGGATCGTTTCATTGCACTACGCGACAAGTAACACCGGTGTGATCGACGGATCGATGTAACAGAGTTCAAGGTTGAGAATATTCTGTCGCAATGTCACAATTCGTTCGTGCCTAATATACCCTTCAAACTTGCCGACGTTGTTGATGAATCACTATTTTCGATCTTCTACTTTTAGATCTTTCGATCCTTCTTGTGAGAACGTATTATGTCTGACCATATATTATTGCACACTACTTGCTGTCTCCTGTGTATATTCAAAAATTAATTCTCCGACATTACTTATATAAAAATTCATCTATTTCTTATACCTAAAATATTCCTGCTTTTAGCGGTCTTTTGTGAAATGATTTAATTCAAAATGGTATGTGTTATGATTGATATTTTCCAGAATACCTAATTTTTTCTATATACCTATCTCTATCGAAGATTTCCTGACGAATTCAACAACCTGTACTTTTATGACTCTGAACATAAAAAATTATGCTTTCGTTAGCCTCAATATTACAAAAATTGTAATCTTCTTAGATCGTTACCCAATCTCCAAAAAGTGTAAATTTCTCAAAAAGGAGACCTACAAATTCTTCCAACACAATATTCCACTCCACATCAAATCACTTCGATCGTTTAACCCAACGTACAACCGTTCCAAAATCTTAGTAATATATAAGACAAAAATCCCATTCCTGAACTATAGACCATCAACCATCAGTTTCCACTCGCGAAACAGCAGCCGAAATAAAGTGGCAAGGGAATCGTCCATAAATCGAAGAAAAGCCGGGAGTAACCTCGCACACGCGTCGCTCTTTCCAACCTATTACAATGCAACCGGGTATTTCCCTCAGCCAATATCGGCGCTCGATCCGCGTATTATGCGAAACGGGCCGAAGTGCATAATGCACGGACATTTCTCCGCAGCTGTGTTGGCCCCCGTGTCTTCCAGCAATTTGTACTCGCGTGTCTCCGCGCGATGCAATGGCTGCGGCGGGCGATCTGCTTTCGCCCCGCGCAATTCACAGTGAAATGCTCCCGCCCTGTTCAGACGTTTCCCTGCGCCATGCTGCACGAATCCCCAGCATTTTCCGCCCGGCAGTTCTTTCCTACCTTGGCGTCTACCATTTCGGTGGATAATACACGCCGTTATGAGCATACGTACCTACACAAACACACACACGCGCGTATATATGTAGGCGCGTGCATTATGCGCGCACGCGGTTGTCCAGTAAATACCGCCTCAAGTAGAGGAACCACTCTGGATAGAAATTTTTTTTCTAATGAAAGTTCTCGCGGCTGGTACGCGCGGTCCCCTTTTCAACCGGAGCGACGGTTTCATTTCGCCGCGCAATCACACGCGTAATGAGTTTTCCGGATGAAAATCGTTCCGACCTGGTGGCCTGTCATTGTGATGATTAATCAGAGCCGGCCTATAAAATGCTCGCCACTGGCCTACGATTATTAGGATTGTTACGCGGGACGGGAAACGAGCCAGGTGTTTCACTCGGATGTTGAGAGCGTGATGGAAACATAGTTCGGCCTGTTGGCGCGCTAATTTTCTACGTAGCGTATGTTGTATTAGTTCTGGGTCGTCTCTGTTGCGACAGAATCGGTTGACCGGTGCTCGATACGTAAAAGGAACTCGGATAACGTACTGGGACGTTCGAGTGGAGAGCGTGGATCGTTGATGGTTGGAATTTTAGAAGAGTAATGCGTAACTTGAAATGTGGGATTTCTAATTAGTCGCAAATTGACTGGTCAAGTGATTAGTCGAGTGTTGGAAAGTTCATCTTTCATAGAGGAATCTTTAGAAAATTTGAAATGAATTTTTAAAAATATTAAACGAATTTTTAGAAAATTTTTCTTTAATTTAAGAAACGATTTTTATTTTTCCCTGAAAAATCCTAAATTTCATATTACACGACTTAATAACGTGTTACGTTCGTTTACATTCTATTCCCTAAGCAAATGTAACAAAGATTCAATTCTCTACCTGATACTTTCAAGTAGTTTCTTAATGTCAACATTTTTGAAAGATGAATTTTTTTAAAAATTGTAAAACTTGCTATACTGACGTACGAGACTCTGAAGATGCTTCAATTGATGTAGCAATATAGGAAAAAAGATATTACAAATACTAGAGATAGGTACTTCTCCTGCAACAGTGTTTCTAAGTAGTATAACCCTATTATATGTCAGACACTACGCTCTCATTAATTCTATCCACAGATCTACCTAATAAATCGCCAGTATTCCAAACCTCTATGAACAAACCTCTTCTCAAAATTTATAATTACGTCTTTTTTCTCAATATTAACAAACTATTTTTATCAAATTTTAATAGAAAGGAGACGTTCAAAGGGTTTCGTCTCCGTTTCTCCATAACTGTCCGCCTCGTCGTACCTCTTTCTTCCCATTTTCTTTTCAACAACTTCCAGTCGAGCTACGAGGAAACAACTTTTGCTATTACAAGTTTAATAAGTTTACACGTACAGCCGGGGGAAGGGGAGACGGCGGCGGCAGAAGGAGGAGGACGAGGAGAGGTTTTTCGCGCGCAGAAAGGCGAAGAAAATGGCAGGGCACATTCGTCGCTCGTGATAAATATGGCCGACAAAAAGAAGCGAAAGGTCGGGCAGTCGGTGAGAAAACGAGCTTCCTGTCAACGTATCGGCGCCCACAGGAACAAAATTATCGAAGCTTCAAACGACAAGGCGGCAAAAAGTTCGCCGCGCGGCCCCGATAGGAAATCGTCGATCGCGTTTCAACGCCGGCTAACATTTTGCAAACCGCGTCCCTTGCCAACTTAAATTACTTTACAAATATTCCTCTGCGTGCAATCTCTAGTTTTCCCTGTCCACGTTTTCCCGCGAGATCTCGCGCGGAAACGGGGAAATTATGAAACGTGGCTGCCAAAGAAATTGCGATTTGAAAGATGCAGAAATAAGGGCAAATCTGACGTGGTGGACTTTGAGATAGAAATCGGTTGAAATTTTAACTGACGACCAATGGAAATATTGTGGTAAATCTTGAGAGTCGAAAAATTGAGACTATGCAGAGTTTTTAAACACTAAAAATCAGATATTTTTGTGCCTTTCTCAATTTTTCCCTGAAGCTACAACATTCAATTTTGAGTTACTCTCCCAATTATTTATTTAATTAAACAATCACTTGATTAAGTACCAAGTTTCTTAAATTTTCCAAAATTTGCCATTCAGTAGATTGTTCCCCTTTTCGACTTGCCGTATTTAAATAACCCAAGAAAGCAACGCAACCATCATTTTTACATTTCTCGAGCTCCGTCGGTTTTTCCCCTACGCCATTCATTTGTCACTATCCTTCGACTAGAAATTCTGTACACTTTTACGCAAGTCAAAGAGTAGGGATCTCGCAGAATTTTCATTCTGCAGCAAAGAAGCTTTTACATCCTTTGAATCGCAAAACTGATATTTCTGGAAACGTGTCGCCCCTGAATGGTACACTCGTCACTTGTCATCTTCAAACGTTTAATTAGCCTCCCCTTTACATTTCATAATTTCCACAGAAATCATTTGAGCCTCGCCTTTACAATCTAAGAGTGCATCGTGTAGGTAAAAGGCTATTTAAACGAAATTATTCACCGGTACCTTCTTTTCATTGGCGGAAATTAAAAGAAACGACAGCGCGAAAGAAACGAAAGGAGCGTGTCAACTCTCCGTTTCCAGATACAAACTGTAATTACTTAAAGGGCGTGAATCAGAGTCGCTTCTCTCTATTTCTCCCTCGGAGAAGTGTTTTTCTCGAAGCAAGAGAAACATTTCTTCGAGTGCTTTCGAATGATTAATACAAGAGTGATTTTTTCCACTCACTTGTTGCTGCAACCCTCGTTCAGGAAATAAAGATCCTTGACCAGCAAGCTGAAGAAGGGCACGACGATCCTCTGTCGTTCATCCGTAGCGCCGGCGCTACGCCACATCGCTGCTTTCAATGTGCTGCGATAGCTGCTAAAGTTGCTGCTCGGATCCATTTGGTGCTCTAGAATCGAGAATTTCGCCAGCTGCACCTTTGACCACTGTAACAGAAAATAATTTCGCCTGTCTGTCAGAGGAAATGTTGCTTGTTACGCTGTTTAGCAAAGTTCTGCTACACACCGTGTTTCACTGTGCATCGGTAAACTCGGAAGTTCAGCAAATCTTGCATGTACGGAACTTGCTTTTTCCTTAGAAGTTAGAATCTACTTAAGTGAACGTTTCGGGGTGTTTAATTAGTTAAAAGATCCTGTTTCGCTGATGGTACGTTTTGAGAGTTGAAGGAAAATCTATTCCATTTTTGGTACGAAATTCTGATTAATATATTCGTTGCGAATTTAATTATATCTGCGTCAAAAAATATGAGAATCAGCGGATAACGAAATGAACGTTTCAGTTAGCCGCGATTGCAGTTCATATTTCATATAGTGCAATATACCTCCCTCGAGTTTTTAAACATTAATATTAAATCTCTATTCATAAAGTTCAAAATTAAAGATTTACATCCATTATCTGTGTGAGAAAATACGCGAATCGGTGGTTAACGAACGTTTCAGTTAATCTATTTACCATTATGCAATATACCTACCCACGAATACGAAGAAAATTCAATTAACCTCGAATCTCTGTCCATAAAGTTCAAAATAAAAGATCGACATCCCAGAAGATTTGTATCCTCGTCTGTCTAACATTTCGCGCAAGTAAACTTCGTTAACTCCATTTTTTCGAAATTCCCAAAAATTCGTCTGCCGCGAGAAATCCGGAAAATTGGCGTAAAAAATCCAGTACGTTTTCTAGCCGATCCACCTCGTTGGCCGTCTATCCGACGGCAGGATCTTTACGTTTATTCCTCGATCGTTTCTTTTTACACGTACAGGATATCGCGCGTACACGCGAGGCGAAGAGCACAGCTCGGAACAGAGAAACGTGTTCACGACAGACAATAAGTGCATCTGACTCGGCCGTCTGGATACAATGCAATCGAACTGATCCCATTGCCTTTAACCCGATACCCTTTTCTCATTCCGATATATATCGAATTCTATCCGCCGTTTGCACGGTCAGATAGTTACCCTCGCTTTCTGACCCCGCTTTATCCCTTTGTTCTTCCCCTTATCCCTTTGATTTTTCCGCGCCACTCTCCCCGCTCTACCTCCTCCTCCTCATATCTCTGCATGCATTCGACCTACTCTCTTCTCTCCTCTCTCTCTCTCATCCTTTTCGTTTCTCCGCCGTCCTACTCGAAACCTTCCTCGGTCCTTTGTATCTTTCCCTCTAATTTTCTCCTATCTCCTCTCTTTCGCAGCTTTCTTCAATTTGTTCCGTCTTTTGAATTCTCGTCTTTAACCCCGCCCCGAGACGGTTTCACCTGTTCTCTACACTCCCTTCCTTTCAATATGACCCCTTTATGAACGTAGCGCGAATGCGTACTTCTCTCAACTTTGTTTTTTGTTTTTTTAAGGAGTTTCTCTTTTTGGCGCACGCGAGGATTGCGAGAGTTTGGGGTTGGTTTGTGTTACATTGATTTATTGATTTTATATATTATTGTTTTCTTAGTGTGTTTATGTCTTTTGTTAGTTACTTATAATTGCGGAGGAGGAAAGTAGAAAAGTGAAATTTCAGTTTTTGGAAGGTTCAATCTCTGCATATGCGGACGAGATATTTCGCGACGCAAGTTGTTCACGCGACACTCTCACAGTGTCTTTCGTGCGACGCTTTGGACGAAATATCTCGCGACTCGATATCGTTGATGCGACGCTTTCGATATTTCGCGACGCAGTGTCGTGCATGCGCTTATCTCGCGACCCAATATCATTCACGCGACGAAATATCTCGCGACGAAATATCATTCACGCGATGAAATATCTCGCGACTCAATATCATTCTCGGGTTAAAATATCTCGCGACGAAATATCTCGCGACGAAATATCATTTATGCGACGCTTTCGACGAGATTTTCCGTAGCGCAATGTCTTTCACGCGACGAGATATCTCGCGACACAGTATCATTCATGCGACGCTTTGAACGAAATATCTCGCGACGCAGTGTCCTTCATGCGACGCTTCAGACGAAATATCTCGCAACGCTTTAGACGAAATATCTCGCGACGCAGTGTCCTTCATGCGACGCTTCAGACGAAATATCTCGCGACGCTTTAGACGAAATATCTCGCGACGCTTTAGACGAAATATCTCGCAACGCTTTAGACGAAATGCCTCGCGACGCAGTGTCCTTCATGCGACGCTTTAGACGAATTATCTCGCGACGCTTCGGAGAAGATATCTCGCGAAGCACTGTCTTTCATACGACGCTTTGGGTTAACCAAACGACTATTTTCTCCAATATAATAAATATCCACCAACAAACACGTTCCTAAAAACACTTCAATAACAAAGAACATTCTTCACACAAATATTTTTCTTGAATAATTCAACGATGAAAACACATTTCCAGAGTATTGTTCGAAGGTTGAACAAATTGCAAGATAATCGGAAAAAAGAGCGAAGCACACAATGGCTGGAAACGCGGGGATAAAAACAATTCATTGGATTTCGATTTAAAGCGATCGAATTAAACCGGTGCATTACTATCGAGCACAAAACGAATAAACGAAGATAATTAATTTTACGCCGGAACAAACTTTCGAAAACGCGTGTACGTCAAACCCGCTATGAAATTCTATTATTTTCAAATTAAAAGAAAAACCGGTCTCGATGTTCATTTTCTCAAATTGACACTGCAGAAATTTAAACAAATTTCGATAAAATAGACGATGCTAATTGTATTTGTTAAATTATAGATTACAATCACCGAAAACGGTCAATTATCAATTGTTAATTACGAAACGTTGATTAGCCGGCGATTTTAACGGACAAATAACAAATCCACGTTTTTTGCCAATTACTCCTCCAAATTTTATTCAATTGCAAATATAAACGTTCCTTTGTTCAAACTGACCAGGAATTCGTTTTATCTTTTTCATTTCACGTGCAAGAATATCGAGTAAAGGAACGAAAGGATACTGTGTAACGTGGCCATCGGGAAAGAAGAGAAATCATTCGCGAAACTTTCTCAATTCTCACTCTCTGCACACACACTTTTCATTGGCTTCTCACTTCCAATTTTCATCTGGTTAAATCCACTCGCATAAAGTTACACTTTCCTCTTAAATATACAGCGAATTACAAAACTATCCCTAGTCCTTCACTCACAAATTTTATGCTATTCTTATTTTCATTTTAAACAAATCTAATTCCACTTTTCTCCGCAATAATTTCGTTATCAATCTCCACAGAATTCAAATCATAAATGCTTCGTGGAATATTCAATATCGGTAGACAAGTGACAAAAATTATACCCTTTCACTTGGCGCACTTTCACTGTGATTCAATCTCTAATTTTCTAGCTTTGCGCACTGCCACGTTAATTCCATTTAAATGAACTTAATTCTCAACGATTTCGCGGCCGCGTTTGAATCGTCGCGACGCGCGTTTCGCACTGAAATTTTACACAGCGAAATGGTTAACGATCTCAATTTTGATCCAATAGCGTGTATATCTTTCTACCACTTGAACATTCTCCAGCTATTGCAACTCTGAACTCAGAAAAAATGACACGAAACATTGCACAATCTGCTAATCAGACGGTGGAAAAATGGCGGGAACTGGTCGCGAGTTCAAATCGAGGTTGGCTCGCGTGCTAAAACGCGTAGCCAGACATTCCTGACGCTGGTCCGAATTAATTTACCGTAAACTATTTCCGCGTACGCCGTCGTTGTATGTCGGCTACACGCTAATTCGTATTAATTAAATTGAATTTCGTTTGGACTTTCCGGGCCGGCCAATTAAGCAACGGTGGCGTCGATTTCGACGTGCGCGCGCCAACGGAAAATCGAATAGAATCGTCATTGTACCGACCGTGACGAACAGTTTCTCTCTCCCTTCGATTTGTCTATTCTTTCGCGAAATTCAAGCACGAACGAGCGTCGCGAAGACTCCGTCTGCTTGGCGGAAAAAGCGTTAATGAACGGGAACGCGGAAAATTTAGTCCGCCTCGACGAGAAATTCGTTCTTCTTCGCGGTTTTCAGGATAAATCGTAGATACGAGGGAGAAAGACGGAGAGAGGCTTTGTCCAGAGGTAAATAAAATAATGTAACGTCGGTGGTGCCTGGTTTGGATCGGGGAAATTAACAGTCGAGTAATTGCGATCCACCGCGTGGAAGAAATGGATATTGATGCGTACGATTTAAAAAGTGTACATTACTTTCTCGGATTTAGGTACTATCCCCGCAGCAGCTTTTTACAGCGAATAACTTTAAATATGTCGCGAACTGGGTCAGGTAAGATTGGTAACGGCACGAAGTACGAAATAGTTGATGCAATTCTTGCAGCAGGGTAAATCTTTTTTATTCGAGCTGGAAGAATACGATTTTTTCAGTTTCTGTGGTATTAATATTTGGGAAATATTCGTTATTTCATTTGTTGTAGGATTTTGAGAATTTGAAATGCAATTTTATGGTTAGGTTAGGTTAGGTTAGGAATACGATTTTTTCAGTTTCTGTGGTATTAATATTTGGGAAATATTCGTTATTTCATTTGTTGTAGAATTTTGAGAATTTGAAATGCAATTTTATGGTTTGCAGTAGGATTCAAGGAAGAATATAATTTCTTTTTAATTACTGTGGTATTAATCTTTGGGACATATTATTTCCGTTGTTGCAGGATTCTGAGAATTTGAAATTCAATTTTATGGTTTGGTTTTTAGTTGGATAAATCTTATTTATTCAAGCTAGGAGAATATGATTTTCTAAAATTTCTACGGTATTAACATTTGGAATATTCGTTATTCCATTTGTTGCAGCTATTGAAACGCGATTTTATGGTTCGCTTTGCAGTAGGATAAATCTTCTTTATTAAAGAAAGAAGAATATAACTTTTTTTACTTTCTCTGAATTAATCTTTGGAATATTCGTTATTCCATTTGATGTAGAATTTGAACAGATTGAAACTTGTAGCAGAATAAATCCTTTTTATTCAAGAAAG